GTATAAATCTTTCAAATATTCAAATGAAAAAACACTACTATTTTTTTTATTAACTACCTGCTTGCATTTTATTACAACATACTTGAAATTAAAATAGCAGGCATAGTGCCAGGTAGGCCAACAGGTTAAGCAGCTATCATAGACAGAAATCAGTGAGCTGACTTCTTTTTCCTGAAAAAGAACACAGAGTTAAAAATATTGATGTCTTCACTATGAAGCAAGGCTAGCATCACTTACTACGTATTTCTGCTGTGGCGTACTTTGGGATCATAGAGTCGGTGGTGAGCTCTGGATGGAGGATGCAGCCATGTGTGTAAGCATCCATTGGCAGTCCATCTAGCAGGTGACGGTACTGTTGCACGCGCTCATAGAGAGGTGAGTCCACATCAGGAATCAGCTGTGCTACAGTGTCTGCAACAAGAAGACACAAACAGGAAAATAAGTACACAGTGATATTAATTCTACAAACTGTGGAGAAATAAGACAATTAAAAAAACTGCTGCATATAGATATTCCTGAGATTTTTTCACACATGTTCCAGAACATCTTCCATCTCTGAGAAACTGCCATTGTCACTACCCACCACCACCACCACCCATAACAAACAAAAAAAAATCATCACGCTTCAGCTGTCAGACAGCATGGTAACCTGACAGTAGATGAAATCCTCTGTGTATAGTAATAAAGTTTAATAAAAGCATGAAGCCATAATGGGCTGTGAGCACTCTGGGATGGAGCTCACAGCTGAACCGCTGCAGGGTCAGAACAGGAACACTAGAATGATTGGTGCATTCAACTGCAGTCTTGTGCTGCTCACACCCGCACACACCGAACATCAGAAATCTGCTCTAACTGGGTAAAACCAGTGGTTAATTTGAGCTGGATCCTGCCAGAACAAGATCCAGGAACTCCCTCATTTTCACCGTGTGTGTTCTGGCAACTGTTCAATCGAATCCGTCAGCTCATATCTCCATCCATAAAAGTCATCGCACATTTTTATTTTTATTATTTATTAAAAATACAACAACGGGAGACGTTGTCCATGTCTGTGGTGTGGATCTTACTACAGACACTGT